ACCCTCCAAAACGCTCCAAAAGTTCGCATAGCTCCGCAGGGACAAGGTACCCCAACAAGCCCAACACGCGCCACTTCCGCACGCAAAAGCCACCACAAGGCCACAGCAATGGCTCAAGGGCACCTTCCGGCCGCAGCAATGGCTTCTTATAGGCGTTCAAGGCTCCGTTTGCCAGGCCTCAACCCCTCCAAAACCCTCCAAACGCTCCAAAAGTTCGCATAGCTCCGCAGGGACAAGGTACCCCAACAAGCCCAACACGCGCCACTCCCGCACGCAAAAAGCCAACACAAGGCCAACAGCAATGGCTCAAGGGCACCTCCGGCCGCAGCAATGGCTTCTTATAGGCGTTCAGGCTCTGCCAGTTTGCCAGGCCTCAACCCCTCCAAAACCCTCCAAAAGCTCCCAAAACCCTCCAAAACGCTCCAAAAGTTCGCATAGCTCCGCAGGGACAAGGTACCCCAACAAGCCCAACACGCGCCACTTCCGCACGCAAAAGCCACCACAAGGCCACAGCAATGGCTCAAGGGCACCTTCCGGCCGCAGCAATGGCTTCTTATAGGCGTTCAAGGCTCCGTTTGCCAGGCCTCAAAACCCTTCCAAAACCCATCCCAAACGCTCCAAAACCCTCCAAACGCTCCAAAGTTCGCATAGCTCCGCTAAGGGACAAAGGGTACCCCAACATAGCCCAACACGCGCCACTCCAGCCACGCAAAAGCCAACACAAGGCCACGCAATGGCCTCAAGGGCACTTCCGGCGCAGCAATGGCTTCTTATAGGCCGGTTAAGGCTGCCGTTTGCCAGGCCTCCTCAAACCTCCAAAACCCTCCAAACGCTCCAAAACCCTCCAAACGCTCAAAAGTTCGAAATAGATCGCAGGGAAAAGGCCCCCCAACAAGCCCAACACGCGCCCCCCCCGCACGCAAAAGCCACCACAAGGCCACAGCAATGGCTCAAGGGCACCTTCCGGCCGCAGCAATGGCTTCTTATAGGCGTTCAAGGCTGCCGTTTGCCAGGCCTCCAACCCTCCAAAACCCTTCAAACGCTCCAAAACCCTCCAAACGCTCCAAAAGTTCGCATAGCTCCGCAGGGACAAGGTACCCCAACAAGCCCAACACGCGCCACTCCCGCACGCAAAAGCCACCACAAGGCCACAGCAATGGCTCAAGGGCACCTTCCGGCCGCAGCAATGGCTTCTTATAGGCGTTCAAGGCTGCCGTTTGCTAGGCCTCAAACCCTCCAAAACCCTCCAAACGCTCCAAAAGTTTGCATAGCTCCGCAGGGACAAGGTACCCCAACAAGCCCAACACGCGCCACTCCCGCACGCAAAAGCCACCACAAGGCCACAGCAATGGCTCAAGGGCACCTTCCGGCCACAGCAATGGCTTCTTATAGGCGTTCAAGGCTGCCGTTTGCCAGGCCTCAAACCCTCCAAACCTTCCAAACCCTCCAAAAGTCCGCCCAGCTCCGCAGGGAAAAGGTACCCCAACACCCAACAGGCTTGAGAAGCAAACGGCCATATGTCTGTCTTGCTGTCCGTCTCCCTCTCTCTCTCTACAGTACCCCCCCTCCAATTAGGCGGGTCGGCGGCACCTGGGCGCTAGCCCATTCTATAATCCGGCGACGCCTCGCCGTGTAGTGTGGGGAAGCTAAGCATAGCTTTAGCTACCCGGGGGTGCGCCCCTGCCGCCGACCCTCCCCAAAAATCCTTTAGCCTGGTGGGGTTTTCACGTTTTTCGGGGTCTGGGGTGGACAAAAAGAGGGTAAAATTTGAAGATGCGTTTTGGAGGTCCCAAAAATCGGAAAAAAGTACCGTTTTGACACATTTTTCGGACGATTTTTTTTTTACGATTTTTTATTTTTTTCGCTGTCGGAAGTCACTTCTACTCACCGCATTTCCCCCACCGTACCACTTCTGTTCCTCTTCAGTTATGCCCCGTTTTTGTAGCTAAATGAGGGTAATGTACCATCAATTTTTGCGTTTAACGCGTTGGCGGGAAAGCTTGCTCTGTTCCCTCCACTGTCTTGATTTAAGCGGGCTTCCTTTTTTTTCTTATCTTTTTCTGTCGCTTTCTCTTCTCTTCTCTTTTTGTCCTGTCTCAACTATTGTTTCCTTCTTTTCTCTGTCTTTTCCCCTTTCCTTTTTCTTACTACCGGTATCTCTTTCTTGTTTATTCTCCTCCCTCTTCATACTCTTTCTCTCGAACGAGCCATATGAAAAAAACGCAGAAAATGCTGTAAATACCAATACTTTTTGGACCCAAGATGCACAAAACACTGCAAATACCAGTGTTTTTGAAAGCCAAGCAAAAAAACACTGTAAATTACAGCATTTTTGGCGGGTTGATCGCAAAAAATGCTGGTATTTACAATGTTTCTGCAATTTCAAGCAAACGTGGAAGGCACGAAACACTGTAAATAGCGGTGTTTTGGCAACTTTTGGACGCCGAAACGCTGGTATTTACGCAGTTTTTTGCTTGTGACGGGGCCACTCCCCTGTAAATTACAGCATTTTTTGCACTTTTTGAACCGATTTTTTGTCTTGATGAATGCAAAAAACGCTGGTATTTACACGTTTTTCAAAAAATCGAAGATCGTGATGTGAACGAAACTCTGTAAATAAGAGTGTTTTAGCCACTTTCGGGGACTAAAACTGTGGTATTTACACGGGTTCTTACCATCTCACAGCACAAAATGCTGTAAATTACAACACTAGGCATAGGCCAACATAGCCTCAAGATGGGCCAACATAGCCCCAAGATGTGCCAACATAGCCCCAAGATAGGCCGCCGACCCTCAGCATGTCATGTTCGCAAGTTCAGATGACATCCCCCTCTCTCTTTCCCTCCCCCGACCCTACCGGCGTCGCCGGTGTGCGAAGCTCTACAATAGCTTATACATGTTTATACATTCATGTCAGTAGCGCCAATGGTGGGAATAGCTTATACATTCATTCCGCCGACTTTGGGCCTTCATGTGTGCCAATGGATGGCAACCATTCATGATGTGTTGGAGCGGTGTGTGGATTGGTAATAAGCTCAGTCTAGTATATATTTGATGGGGTGTCTGCTGGCCGCGCAGTCCTTTGACTACATGGAAGTCTTCTCAGGACAGGGATGGGTGACTCGTACCATGGGAAGTGCTGGAAAGGCGACAGCATCTTTCGATATCTTGCTGGGAGATCCCAAACCCGATAAGCAAGATTGCATGGACCTGACAACAGACAGCGGGTTCTGGTTCCCAAGCTGAAAAATATGTTGCTTACAGTAGTTTTCTTAGCTGCAACTGTCACCCCTCAAATCACCATTTCTTTTTGGGAACTGTATGAGGGTAGCCATCGCTCAACCAAGTATCTATCAGGAATCCTTTTTGTGTGTATATGAATATGTTGTTTCTTTGGTTGTTGTAAAGTTCAGAGCCTCATTGGCCACCAAGACATAAACAAATTCAGGTTCGATATTGCCCCATCTGTGCAATCTCCTCCCATGTGTTGCCACCAACTGGGGCCTGCAACTGAGTCTCTGCCTTCTGTCAATCTTGAACCTGAAGTTCGACCAGAGTCTATGTTTGATTGGGTTGCTATGCTCTTCTTTTGTAGCAATCAATGCTGCAACACATGCTCGCACACCATGGTGCCCTTTGGGAAACGAGGATTTACCCCACGTTCAATTAGGAAATGCCCTTGCAGCACGGACCCTTGACTTTTACTCAATACTTTGGGTGGCTGGTGTGCTTCTGTGAGAATAGAATGGTTTGTAAAGTCAAAGATACAATATAGGAGGTTACAATCAAACGGCTCAGAAACGCATGGGATTTAATCAGTGGCCTTGTGCCCCCAACAAACTGACATCTACGATGAGATCATATAGAGTACCTAGCCAAGAAAGAAGTGGTAATGCCCTCATCTTATAAATGTGTTTTGCACATGAATTGCAACTGTAAATTGTAAATTTCATACATTCCACCAAGCCAAGGCATTGAGTTGCAATATGTTGCAATTACATTGCACACTACGAAAATGTGTTGGTTCATGTTGGCTCAATGTTCCAGACTAACAATTGGCAATTATATGCAAAATCCTTTTGTCTAATCGCAGATCTGATGGGGTAAACAACTATGACAAGGAAACAGCTTCAAACATCCATTGTCTTCATTGCAATTTTCATGCCAAAGTGGGGTCTACTTCATCGGTTGCTATCTTCAGCCATAATAGTTGGCCGAGACTTCTTACTCCAGGTTTCTAAGTCCTTATTGGTGGAATAGGCTAATCAAAGGTAATTCCCCTATCTGAATGTTGATCGATATTTCATATCGGGGGCTTCGTTTGGTGAACCCTGTGCTTTTCCCCACAGGTTGCGTTGTGAAATCAACATCCAAACATAAGATTAATTTCCGGGGATATTCAGCCCATCCGGCAGCCACCTTGTCTTGCAGCCCAGGGTAACGCTGCTCGTCCTAGCACTTCAAGCGGTGGGAGCTGCGTGGCTGATTGAACAGCCGATATCATCATTGGCATGGTATCAGCCAAGACTGCGGAGCATCCTCCGTAGCATTCACAAGGCTTTGTGGTGTTAACAAGCAATAGCAAAAGACTTTTGCAAATTGTGGGGGTAGGTAGGAAAGCCTTAAGTATATGTGGGGCCTCGTCGGGAACCAACATGTTTCCCTACCTTTGTTTTGAAAGCGTGTTTTTTATTATAGACATTTCCTTAGGGAGAATCTTGATCCAATTATACCAGGTCAAAATCATAATGCTTGAAAATGCAACAAGCAACAAAAGTCGGAAGCGCTAGGATGCATAATTGCACTCTTTAAGTTTGATGCTTGTTTAATTTTCAAAACCCCTTGTGGCAGTGCCACTGTTAACAGACATGGGCGCCTGCAGGTCTATGTTTGCAAGTGGTGGATGGGGCATTACCGCTCGGCCACGGCAAAGCGACACATTTGCTGGAGCAACACTCGCAAAGTGGGTGCTCTTGATCGGGGGACCCTAACAAAATCTCAACGGGAAGAGATACGTAAAAGTGGTGTTAAAAGCGCTACCACGAAGGTGAACCGAAAGGGTAAGAAGTCGTACACGGGCACGCAGTTCCTACGTGGTACTGGGTGGGGGACTTAGTTACGCATGCATTTCGTTCTATACAAGATGTTTTTCTTTGATAAACCAATAGCTGATGAAGTCAAATGAGTTTACATCCATCTGGGCTTTAAGTTTGGGATTGGCAGGGAAGTATCCACCCCCAATCCCCAAATCTAGCGGGGTGTCCCAAAAAAAAGGTTGCACATTTAGACTGGGGAATGTTTGTTAGTCATATACGAGACTTGAAAAAGATGAAGAATTCTCAGCAATATTGTGTTGCACAACCCCAACTATTGTTTTGGATTATTCTTGAAAGTCTTCCAACTTCCAACCCCTGAGTTTGTCCATCTGTTTGGAAATATACTAGTAGTCTTCATTTGGTTGAAGTGTTTGGCCCAAAATTTTGAGCCATCATAACAAAGGAGTATAAGATCCATTTTTGCCCTCCAACCCTGGATTGCCAACAAAGGTTACGATGCACTATTTGGTTAGTTCGGTTTTCAGGCCCACATGTAATCAAACAAATAGCGGTTTCAAAAACTTCATATACTGTGATTTGACTTTCTGTTAAAGGCCATCTACTTGAAAGCCAACTGGAATTCACTGTAGATTGTATTCCTGTGACTTTTTGGGGTTACCATCTTGATGCAAAGTCTTGATCCTCTTGAATGGTGTGGGGCATGGTACTTAAAATTTACAACAGCCTATTTCCGCACCTTGTCACAAGAATTCCAAGACGGTTGATGTGTTCAAACGATTGAATCCATGAATAATGAAATCTTTGAAGGGTTTTGTTCGGAGTACAACCCATTCCATTGCAACTAAGGGCGTATCCTCCGCACTTTGGACTCAAAATGGTACGATTGTTTCCTCGGCTCACCCAGTACAGAACGCCCCCTCCTGAAGTTCCTGAAGAACTTGTGGCGATTCCGACCCAGGAGTTTTTCGACTCTTTGCCTTGGGATGAGGATAAGTGGGAAGATGCTGGGCTGATTTCTGCCCTCTCATACTTGCGTGGCAACAAATCGTTGGACCTACAAAGTTGGCGTCCTTATTTCCCTGAATTTCTGTGAGGTACTCACATGAAAATACTTTCCTGTGCAACCTTAATTTCCAGCTGAATGAACACTGAACAGAAGTGTTGCTGATTTCAACTGCTTTGCCAGCCGTGAAAAAAATAAGGCATCTAGTAACTTGGGACAGGTTTTGGCATGTTTTGGCCAATGGCACTTGTTTCAAGGCTCGTATGGACCTCGTATGGACTGGATGTGATAGTTCATGATAGTTCTGCATTGTGTTTCTGCTTTTTTTTGACAAAATCATGAATTTTATAAAATTTTAAGATGATTTCCAAAGTACGTACTAAGTACGTATTCTGTACGTACTTGACCCGTACACACCCGTACACCCGAACAAGGGGCGTATTTTTCCGGACAAAGGCCGTATTTTCCCGTACAAAAGTACGTACTAAGTACGTAAAAACGCCGTATTTTGACTATTTTCCAACATAGCATTTTTGCAACTTTTTTTGAGATTTTTTGATGGGTTTTGTGATTTCAAGATGATGATTCTATTTGAACATCATGGAAAGGATCCAAGTGTGAAATCTTGATGGTGCAACCCCTTCTGACTTGGCAACTTGCTCCATTCACCGCCCTTTCAGGTCCAATCTCAGCTGTGGCCCCCAACTGGCCAGGTCTTTGTAGTAGCTTTGCCTGTCATGGGGAAGGTTGCACGGTCTAAAAGAATCCATGCCCTTCCCTCAAAGACCCATAGCTGTTCTGAGCTTCAGAGTGGTCATGAGAAGCTACTTGCGATAAAACATGAACATCCCGATCCAGCTGAACTACAGAGAGAAATTGAGGAGCAATGTGCCTACATTGTATGTTGATTCTTTTATCTCCCAAGACAAGTTGTTCAGATATACCCGGAAAAGTTATCTGTCAGGAGTATGAAGCTCAGCTGGCAGCCCTGAAGAAGCAAAAAGAAGACCAGGCCCCAAATCCTATCAATGGTAAAATGTTTCTCGAACCAGAAGTGTATTAGTCGAATCGCAGGATATAAGTAACTATATTGATGCCCTCTTGGACCTGTCCAGGCCGTATCCACAGCTGAAGATGATACGCAACCAGTCAATCGGCTGCAGCTCAGGAGAATGGGGTTTGGGATTGCTATTGTTATACGGTTTTAGCTTACAATGCAAATTCATCAGAAACTTCACATGCAAATGGTTACCTTTGAGGGATGGAATCTGTAGTAATTCGGTCAAATCGTGTGCCCACCACTGAATGCAGGAAATGAAAATCACCTGGCATTTGCCCTACTGTTTCACAACTTTGTGAATTTGAAAACCATTGTAACCCTTTGCCCATGCATGCATGCATGCATGCATGCATATATAATATATAATGTATGCATGCATATAACCAAGAGTGGATTGAGTTCTTGGCCCCTTAGGCTACTGACGCCGAGTTGAAGGCTGCTCGGCGTGGGAAGCCTTCATCCTCAACGCCCTCTACCAGTGTGGCCCCGAAGGCAACTGCTAGAGCAAGTGGTAAGTCTAAGGCCAAGCCGGCCAAGCCAGTGATTCCACCAGAGAATTCCCCAAAGGAAGTTACAAAGACACCAGTGGCTGACTTGAAGAAATCAAGGAGTGATCAGAAGAAAGTCATCAAGAAACCCAAGTCAAAGTCGGTTCCCAAACCCTCTGTTCCCTCTGCCGCCTCGCAACCGCCTGTGAAGCGACATCGTGGCAAGAGCCCAGCAGCACCTCCACATGCAAGTGAGGAGTCCGAAATTGAGCAGCTCAAGAAGGTAGGGTTGAATTGGGTTTGGGGAATCAATACCCGCTACTTGGGGAGGTCCCAGTTAGACACCAACATCTTTTTCTTGTGGTGAGACGGGTTTGATAGTTCTTGGGACCTCCTGGGACCAAACGAATCTCCATAAATTGAAGTAAGATATGTGTTTCACACTGGATATGTCTCGAAGGATTGCTTACACTTCCAGGGTAAGGGTTGTTTCTATGGGGTTAGGTTTCTTAAAATGATACAGTAATGGGAGCTACAAACTACAATTTAACAAGTGTCCTGGAACCATTTTTGAGGTGGAAAAACATGTCTTGAGGATACCTGTTGAAGTTAGGTACTTCAATCTTCCAGTTTAACAAGTGTCCTGGGATACCTTTTTTGGGTGCATAAAAACGTATTGCCAGGACACTTGTTACAGTCAAACAATCATTGAAATATAAGCCTCTATTTTGTTTATGTGCCGCCAGCTTGGATAAATATCCTGATCTACCAAATCGTATCTGGATAAGATCAAACTTATCTGAATCAGGGTTCTGTTCCATTAGAAGCTTCCGGTCGAATAGAATCAGGCCAACGCTAAGCTGACTGCGGATTTGGAAGCCTTGCTGAAGAAAGATTCAAGTGGCCCAGCCACACCTGCTCCGAGGGTCTCTGCCCCGTCCCCCAAGACACCTGCAAGCTCCAAACCGAATGTGAAGGCAGCCCAGGCTGTTGCCTCGCAAGAGGATGGGTCTGAGGAAGAGGAAGGAGAGGAAACTGAGAACGAAGAAGGATCTGAGGAAAGTGAGCAGGAGGAAAATGAGGAGGTCCCAGGAACAGAGGTTTCAAGTGAACCCACAGAGGCAGCCAAGAACAATCGTCTTAGGCGTTTGTGTGAGAAGAAGCCCAGTGGACGTATGCAGGTTCCCCAGGAGATACATGATATCTGGGCCAAGGGGGGGCCAGAGCGCTTGGCACTTCGTGACCAATTGGAAGGTTGTGGCTGGCAGAAGGATCTCCCAGGGTTGGATGGTGTGTTTGTTAGTTCCAAAAAAGTATTCCAAAATAGATCAAAAACGTTGGTTCTCTGAACTTCGGCATGCCCATATTGATGTGAGAGTTCCAAAAAACATATTCCATGTGGGGTCCCAGAAGATATCTTACTCCATTTTGGGCCTTCATGCTTACCTTATCAGTCCTTTAGATGTAGCTTTCATATTATTCAATGTATCAAAATATATCATATACATTATTCTTTCGGTTGAGTGTCCATCTATATGAATTGTCAATTACTTATGTTGGAACCATTCCCATTTATGGTTCAACTAATCTTCTGGTGACTTTCCAACTTCCCAGCTGTAAGTATAGCCCACACCATGCCTGGCCACACTCTGCGCCAGGACCAGTTCGTGAGCACTGTCCTGAAGATCAAGGAGAAGAGCAACAAGTTTGTTCGCACCAAGAAACGTGGCTGGTATACAAAGGAGAAAATGAGGATCAAGCTGGGCTGGAGCAAGTTTCTTGTTTGAATCAAATTGAACGATTCCCTCATACGATGTTTTGATTCAATGAACCTTGAACGGTATTTGATAAGGAACATGACTACTTGTCAACCTGCAGGTCCTACATCAATGATGTGGTGAAATACTGCGAGAAGAAAGGGAACGAAGCCCTCCGCAAGTAACTAGCCTGCAAATACAAAATATGTGTATGGCATCTCCCTCTGACATCATGTGACTCTATGCAAGCACAATGTAGCAAGAGCCCATATATAAGTAGTCTTTCATCTTGAGAAAACATATGTTTGAATTCCCCAACCTGACAGTGGGTATTGCAACTCGTGCTTCTCAATCAATATTTGTATGATCACCTAGGCGAGATACCTACAACAAGAACCTCTGGAAGTATCTCGTGGAGGTTGATGAGGATGATGAAGAACAAGAAGAAGACTTGGAAAAGGAGACTAAGTCCAGTGTGAAGGCCTTTCAACTAATTTCTTGAGGCTTAAAAACTATTATCCACCGAAAGGATTCATACCCACACATCACCTGCATGCATATTGAAGGGTGTTGAAAAAGTTCAACATCAAGTATCACATCCTGCGGTATCGGGGTTCCTTCCCCCACATGTCCCAAAGTTTAGAACCCGGCCACGCACAGGCTGCGAATGGAGTTGTGAAGTTTTCGCACCTTGACAGGAAGCGAAGCAGGAAGGATATCCAGGCCGAGGCAGGTGCAGAAGAAAGTGAAGAGGCAGATGATGATGATAAGGATGCTGAGTGCGCCCAAGGGGCTCAGGACCGATAACAAACAACATTGGTGATTAATTATCTTTCTTGTTTCCATATATGGGATATGTTACTGAATCAAGTCTTGATAATTGATGCTAGCACACACATGTATTAAGCCATCCAAGTATTACCATGGATTAGCTGGCTCCCCGATCAAAAACATTGCAATACCCCCCACTGCAAACAGGAGTTCCAGTCGCTCAAGAAGTTTGGGGATTCGCTTTTGTCTCGCAGTGGGAAGTTGGCTGATCTTTCGGGCCAATTGGATGATGCAATGGCAGAATCTGAGTCGGGCTCATATCACCGTGCAAGGGTTCAAAAGTAGTGAGCTCAGCTCATTGAAAACCACTTATTTGAAACCAGATTGTTTTGCCATACCAACCCTGCTTTGAATATGTTTACCCACGCTTTTTTTTCTAATTGTTTCACCTGGCGGTCCCCCAATTGAGGTCCCAGCGTGGCTTGGAAGAGGCCATCAAGATTCTTGAAGATGAATTCGACAAAGTCGAATCCACCAAGGCTGATGTTTCTGACCTGCAGAACCGCAAGCTGCCAGAAGCAGATCAGAAGCTGCTGCTTGTCTCTCTACTCTGTTCCCCCTCAGGCTATAAAACTGATGTTTGTTTGCATCCTGGTCAAGTAGTGACCACAGAAGAACAAAGGCAGGTCTCTTCTCAATGGGTTACTATTTCATGGTTTCTTTACCAGCTCAGACCTGTTTGCCTCAATATGCCACTCCGCATGCAAAGGCTTGTGTCGAAGGCGGAGGCGCAGATCAAGTCTTCCACCAGGGCATGTTCCAAAGTCACCACGGCGGAGTCTACTGCAAAGAATTTCGGAATAATGAAGCAATATGAAGTTTATATCTGGTTTCTTTAGGGTTCAGACAGTTGCCAAACAATCCAAAACTCTTCATTCAGGTTATTGTGTTACTAGGACCCTTTGATCAAGTTCGACCATGTCTCCTGCCTGTTGCTGCCACAGACTGCAGCAACCCAGGAACGTCCTGCGCATGCTGAAGAACAGAAACCAAAACTGGAGCTGAGGGCCCTGATGAAGTGTCAGTTGGAAATTTGCTGAATATGGACCATAGGTCTTTCAACGCAATGGCCGTTGATGAACTTTTGGTAGGATCGTTGCAGTGAATCTTTTCAGACTGGGTTTACTAAATTTACATATGTCCCAATCAAACAGCGGGATAACTCTTTTTGGGGTTCAAAACGGGGATCATGTGCCCAGCACGTGCTTCAAGCGTTTCACATTTACGAGCTTTGGCTGTCGGATGATGGTTTGGAGTCCCGGCATGAAACAAAGAAAAGAGGTGAAAAGAGTGGTCATCCTGACTCTTCTGGTGTGTGTTCGTGCTCACTTGTCTTTACATCTTCCATAGCCTACACGATCCTATACGCTCTGAACCCTGCTTCGTTGAGTTCCCTATTAATTTGCCAAACCCTCCACTAAATAATGGGCAGAGGGTTCTTTTTTGTGGCCGAACAAACCTATCATGCCAGGGCAATGTGCCACGGGTCGAGTCCTTAAGCATCTTGCGGGCTTTGCAGCTCGTGGAGACGGATGCTCAGCCATAATTTCCTGTGCATGGCAAGGATTCATCTTGTGCCATGTTAATGTTGCCATGTGGGAATTGTCAGCATGGGGTGTCTGCCTAAGATTGTTGGCCCAAAGATAACCAAAAGAATGAGTACAAATCAACCATACTTGGGAGAATCCTGCAATTGAAAAAAGTGAAAAAAGGTGCAATGTATTTGCTATGTTTCTTTACTGACCGATAGGCAGATTGACCAATTTTATTTTGTGAAATTTCAATTTCTTGCCGACAAAGACACAAAAACATGCATTGTGCAAAATTTCTATGTAGTCACTTCAGAATGCCATGGATGAGTGGTTTGAAGAGCTGCTGGCGCAACCAGCCCATGAACATGCAGCCGCTTTGAAGCCTACAGTTCTGGAGGAGCGATTTGCTGACTCTCCCCAGCGCCTTGTCCAACATTCTATCCCTCCATCATCTTACTATATAATTGAACCATATCTCAAAACAACCATAAACAACCCAAACCTAGGCAGGGTGATGCCACTGATCATGGAGATTTTGAAGGCCTTCTTGATGAGCCAGAACATGCTGGTTATTTTAATCGCGGTGGTGAACTAGAAATATTGCAGCTGGAACCTCCCTGCAAACGTCTCGCAGTTGGCTGTCCTCCAATTCCAACTGTTTCCCATTCTGACCATCAGGTGCCATGGCCAAGGTGTCAAATGTGAGTCTGTTTGTTACCCTGTTGAGTTTTACCTTGTGAAATTCCAAATTTTGGTTTAATAAATGTTTTTAAAAAATAAGTGTTTTTTCTCAGGATGATGCTGCCTCGATGCCCGAGAAAGTGGCTGCCCTTACTCGATTGGGGAAGACATTTGATGCTTCAACATTCGATTGGCGTGGGGTACGTCAATACAACATTCGAAACTGCTGTGTATCCCTGCAAGCTGGTCGGTCGATGATCTGTGGCCGAATCCTGGCCCATGCCAGGAATCAAATCACCCTTTTTCGTGAAAGCATCGGTGTGCGGGTTTGTGTTTTCAAAATTGGGATGACATCAAACCCGATTCAACGATATATTCCTTACCTGGAGTCTGGATTTACTGACATGTGGGTCCTGACGATGTCTGACAGCCTCGATTTAATCAACATGCTGGAGGCCGCTTGCATATCACATTTCAGCTTACACGTTGGTTGCAGGAACAAAAATGAAAGCGGTGGCGAGGGCGCTCAGAATCGAGTGAGTCCTCCAATGCCACCCTTTTACCTTTATGTTACTGGGGGCAGGGCAGATCAGCCACGAAGAGTTGGTTGATGATATCCCTTCCTTGGGTATGTCTTAAACAGTTTGAAAATGTAATGTAATGTATTCGTTGGAACATAAAACACGAAACACCATATATAATATATGGGATACAGCTTTTGGAGTTAAGTCATACCCAAGTGTCTCAGCTGGGGATGCTGGAAAAAGGAAGCGTGCGTACACGTGCGCTGTGTGGATGCATGTGTATGTGCTCTGTGAGATTGCTAGTCGTGTTGACAGTAAAAGGCAAAAGCATTCTGATGCACTCTTGCTTACAACCCCCATGACCACCACACCTTCCACAGAGTCAAGCACGCTTGACTCCTGCTTGCTCTCTTGCTAAGGAACCTATGAAGCATGTGGTGGCACTTGCCAAGGCAGAAGTGGAGGAAAACCCACTTGCATCCCCCGCGATGCGAGAATTTGCAGGTGTGAGACTACGAGATGCTGAGAAACGCGCGACCAGAATTCTGGAGAAGCATGAGCTCGCTGCTCCCATTCCAATTGACAGAGTGAAACTTCATGATTCTGCAAAGCCGAAACAGCTCAGAAACTTCCCCTGCATGAAGTTTTCTTCTTGGCTGAAGTTCCTCCTTGACACTGACAGGGTACCCAGTCAGCTTTGTGGCTGTGGCGACATGGCATCTATGAATGCAAAGCTGCGTGAATTTTGGGGCCGCTATGAGCAAATCCACCCTACTCACCCGCTATTCCAGATGCAGCGAGATGGCCAAGTTGATCTTTCCTTCATGCTGCCGGTGTATTCCCATACCGATGAGGGAAGGAGCTACAAAAAACAGCCGCTGTGGATCCTGAGCACGCACGGCGTTCTTGGCCGTGGAACCCAAAGTTTTTTGCAGAAAGAGAAAGACAAGGTTTCATTGAAGAGGTCTGGCCTGGGAATGAACTTCGTTGGCAACACCTGGGGCAATCAGTTCATGTTTGCTTGCATGCTGCGAAAGCTCTTCAAGAAAAGGCCTCAAGTTCTTGACAACCTTGTGCTGGCTTATGCGCAAGACATGGCAGAGTTATTTAACTCTGGGGTGTCCAATGCTGATGGAACAGTCACCATCCGTTGCTGCCACCTGGGGACAAAGGGTGACCTACCTGCGCTAGCCCGCATGGGCAATATGCTCCACACCTTCTCCAATGTCCCTAGAGCTGCTTCCAGCAGGAAGTCTTGCGAAGGAATTTGCTGGATGTGCAAAGCTGGACAGGAAAACCCCGACGTTCCGTTTGAGGACGTGTCAGGGCAGCCATTGTGGGAAGCCACGCTTGGTTGCCAAAATGCTTGGCATGAGACGCCGCCAATTTTGACTGGTGTTCCATGGCTGCAAACAGAGCACTGGTCATTCTTCAAGACCGACATATGGCACAACCTGCACCTGGGCATAGCGAAGCACTTTACTGCGAGTGCCTTTGTCTCATTATTGGAGATTCTTCCTTTGAATGGGGCATCCATGGATGACAAGATCCGATGGCTCGATGAGTGCTACAAAGACTATTGTGCTCGCAAGCGGGTCAGCCCTCATGTGGAGGAAATTGGGCGTGACACTTTGTCATGGCCTCAAGCTTCCAGCTGTCCTGTTGGCTCTTGGAACAAAGGAAGTGCCAGCACGCATTTCATGAAATTCTTGGAGGATCTGTGCCTCCAGAATGCAGCTGAATGCGCGGGGGACCCACTACTTCAGGCAATTGTGGCTAGCCTTTGCTGAGCCAGATAGTATGTTTTTTTCCACTCTAAGTCTAGTAGTTCCCAGTATAGATTGTTTCCAAGTCTGTTGCTGTTATCCCTGACCAAGGCCACTGGCACAAAGGCCATGAACAGTGTGATGTCGGCGTTGTATGGTGAGGGATTCTTTATTCACTGGACCAAAGCTGAAAAGATCGCGAAGTTGTGGCTGCTCTTTCTCCAGAAGTATGCCATGTGCGCCCGCTTGGTGTACAGACATGGGCGGTCGCGCTTTGCTCTTGTTCCGAAACTACACATGCTCCACCATGGATGCATGAGGCTGCTCAGGCAAGCAGAGCTTGCAAAACAGAATGGAACTCGTTGGACTGTGAACCCCTTGGGGGAATCAGTCCAACAACAAGAAGATTTCATAGGCAAACCGTCGCGATTAAGCAGGCGGGTTTCTGCGAAGCAGATACATGCCAGGGTTTGCAAACGGTCACTAATTTCCACTATGCAGTGTTTGAAAGAAGCCGATGAGGACAAGAGAGGCTTATTTTTTTGCGGAATGTAAGATGAAATGGCAACAAACGATTGCCTGCTGCCAATGTTGGCAACAATTGGGCTTGGCCTGTAGGATGGGCACAGTAACGGACCAACGTGCTAATTAGCGAAACTACAGTTCGGCTGTAGGACTGTAGGTGTGTTTGGTGTGCGCATTCGCACGCTTCCTTTTATGAATGGGAATATTATATGATGATATCTAGTGATATCTACAGAAAAAGCCTTGGTTGCCCAAGCAGCAGAACTTCGCTAGGGGATTTGGTGCGGAGTCCAAGAAAAAATGGAGTTGACACTGAGGTGATGCCTCAGCCAGAGCAATTCTATGTGTGTTGGCTGCGCATTTCAAGAATTAGTCTCTGGTATCCTTCCAAAGTTAAATTCCAATATATTTCAATCTTTAACTTGGGGAATGGCAAATGTTTAGCATCACTGCAGGCAGCAGCATGATGGGAAACAGTGGTAAATGATGATTTCTTGATAATCCCCCCAAACTCAATATTTTGAAAGGGCCGTACTTTTTTAAGAGGGCCGTACTTTTATTGAAACACGGGTCTGACCTATTTCTGCATGCCTTTCAGGTTCT